TTGCTTGTAATAGCACTTTTAGATCAACAGATTTCAAGTTCTTTTACTTTTCAGATGATATGTTTCAGATCCTTCTTTAGCCTTTAGCTAAAAGGAGAAGGGTAATGATATGCGTAACATGTTATGTCACATCAATTTTGTGATTCATTTATATACATTTTCCTTTGTTTTGTTTTTGTTTTTTTTTTTTTTTTTTTTTGTTTTGTTTTACAAATGCGATTCCTGTAAGATGTTTATTGTAGGTGTTGTGTAACAATAATGATAGGTTTCCTGTTTAAGAAGTAATAAAATAAAATACAACAACAATAAGAAAACTATATACGAATCTTTGTCACCCCATCACCGTAAATAAAATTCATTTTTAATTAATATACATAAGAAATTATTGAGTCACGAGCAGTTACATAAAACGAATCATGCTAGTTAGAAAACACAAAAAAAAAATCCTTTTATTTCATATTTAGTAAATAATTCTAAAGCAACAGACCAATTACCTAATTTTATAGCGACTGCAAATGAAGTCATTTTGCTCGATAAACTTCGCTATCGTTAATTCCTGCCAACAGCATAATATGAATTATGAGTTTAACAGTGCGGCCAAATTTCTCCTAAACATATTCAAAGAATCATCGAAGAATTTCAGATCTTTATACATGTCATTTTACTCCTATATCATCATTTTTAAAGTTTCTATTTATGGAGTGCTATTGATGCTACGATTTTCACTTATCACCTGGCAACTCCTATCTTAGCCAAAATTTACGCAGATTTGATGATAGTGTTGTCAAGCCAAAAAAAAAAAAAATTGGCCAGCTGACAGGATAGGGTTAATAAATTTGAAGCATTGCACGAAAGAGTAACGATAGAGTAAGAGTTGAACAATATTTCAAAAATTATGAAAAATTTACGGCCACAGATCACGAATTTCGTACAAAATATGATCGAAACATTGATTTAATTGCATCAGCTATGATGAGAGTAATTGACACTACTAAATTTCTATTTTTATGAGCTCGTTTCAAATTAAAGGTACAGGGCAACAAGACCACAACCATCCGTGCCTTGAAAGTGAAGATTCAACTCTGCATCAATGCATTTATGCAAAAGGGCTATGGAAAATTAAAAGAGTACGTATGTGCCAGAAAAGCCATGGAGGTCATTTATCCGATATGTGTACTGGTCCACACAAATTAGGATTGAATAAAAAAATTAAAATTGAAAAAAAAAAACTTTTTTTTTTTATTTAATTCAAATCTTGCGTAAATTTTGGGACATCTTTTATATACATTATCTGAGGTCGCCAACTGAATCCTATAGTTGATATAACTATTTTTTGGATATTGGTTAATATAGAAGCCAATACAAGATATTGCCCTTATAGGCAAACCCTCTTATTGTTTACCTTTTTTCCAGTTTTCTTCAAAAGCTTTTGTTAAATTCTTCTTTTTCGATGACGATCCTCTTAGGATGAATTAGCAAGCATTTCAGTTTATCCGATAAGAAAATTACCTTTCCTAGTAAAAAAGCATTAAACTGATTTTCCATATCATAATTTTCGACCCAAAGTGAACTATGGAAGTTCAAGAAGCATTTAGAATAGTGGCAATATGCATGAAGGATAAGTTCATGATGGCCCCATTTGCTTAGCTTTGCTTACTCTATGTCAAAAAGTTTCCCAATGATTAAATCAGCAAGGATAATAAATATCTCTACTCAAACGCAATCTTAAGACTTTCTTCCAAATTCAATTCTAATAATAAAGAACGACTGCTTAGCTCAACGTTCTCAGACTTTACGACTCCTGGACACTTTCATCCTCACTTTTCTTTAGATCTAAAAAAGGTAGTAATATAAGAGACAAAGAAAATTTTTCTGTTGTGCAATTCTATCCAACAAACAAAAACGTTGTGTTATCTCTAAAACCCGACACACGACTAACGACGAAGCACATTACTCAAAAGGAATCTCGGTGAGTTGCTTTCTACAATCATAAATCTGGAAGAACAAAATATTAAACATTGAAACCGCCCCCATCTAAGACAAGCATACATTTTTTAGGAGATCGGACTTATAATTAGAAGGGATATTAGTGAACACAATATAGAAAGAATATGTGGGACTGCAAGTGTTGTTTAATGTCATTTCAAAAATTGATATTAGAAAATTCAATGTTATTTTTTGTCCTTGTAGGCTTGTTTGCCTTATTTTTGTTATACCCATCACCGTAGGAGCAGGAATATATTAATTTTGTCAGAACGTTTGCAAAGCCTGGAAGGTAGCTTGGGCGCACCCACAAAGTGCATTTATTCTTAATCAGCATCAAATTCTGAAACGAATTAAGCATGTCCGTCCGTTCGTCCGTGTAATTTCTGTTGTAAGTACTCTCCTGACCGCAAAAGTGAAGCTATCGACCTCAAATTTCTAAGAAACAGTGGTCTTGCACGCAGGCTGATATTGAAAATGGACCAAATCAATCGAGGGACGTGCCTGGAGCACTACGCAAACTACGGACACCTTTATTTGTCGAGCAAATGCAAAATGTGATTTTGATCATTACTCATAAACTGTTTTTATATAAACATACTAAAAAAGGGTCTGGAGATGATTCCAATGTAAAATAAACATATTTAGTTAACAGTTGTGTCAATCAATTAGACATTGGTAATAAACAACTAAAAAAAAAAAAAAAAACAAAACAAATTTGCTTTTTAACTAAAACAATAACTATGCACACAAACAATAGATAATAATGACTATCAAAACAAACAAACAAGCACACAATTATTAAACGAAATGCAAAGCATTTAATAATATGTTATGCTATGCCATGGAAAAGAAATAAATGCAATAAAGTGTTGCCATAAGCGAGCTTCAGAAATAATAAATGCAAACGAAAAAGAATGCTTCACATATCAACGTTTTGAGGGGCGACCAATAAAATTGATTCTCAAAAGGAAGAGAATTTGATAGAAAAAGGGCAGAAGTTTAATAATTCATATAATTATAAAAGTAAAAATGTTTGCAATATTTGAAATAGTTTTTCAATAACTCTCTTAAATGTTAAATGCGTCGTAATAAATTCAATTAAATGCCTTTTTTAATGAATTAAAAATATATGAAAAGAAAAAACAATAAAAAATTAATAAAAATGCATTATAATGGATTTTTAAGGTATGTGACCCAAATATTTTGTATTGGATAATACCGCAACGTCATATGAAAGTACTACATTTACTTGACTTTGACACTTTGCATCCAAAATAAGTTATCTCGTGCAAGTAGAAAGAAAACTTTTGAAGTTTGAATTAGTCGAGGGCTAATAAAACCGCCGCTGAAGTGCAATAGTTCATGAAAAATGGACAACCTCCAAGTTAGATGAGTGCAGTATAAAGTTTTATTGAAGGAGGCCAAAAGAAGCTATCAATAACAAACAATGTAACTCTCTGATCACACATGATGTGAGAAAGACATTAGTTTGCCGACAGAATATTTTAAGCCTAACTAACTGTGAAGCAAACATTTTCATTTTCATCCTTTTTTAATGCTTATAGCAAATCTCAAGAAAATATGTTGTTAGTACTGCGGAACAGATATATTTTACAGGAAGACACGTCAGTCCACCACAAAATCCTGTTAATTTTTTTCGATGTCGTTTTTTATAATTCTGTGATTAACATAATAATTTTTAGTTAACAAATTGTTGAACAAAAAAGAAAAAATATTATTATTATTATTATTATTATTATTATAAATTTAGCCAGAGAATAAAAATTCTAAGACTAAAGTCTTAAAGCACTAGCATCTAGGGCCATCGGCTTTTTATTACAAATTCTACCGCACTTTGAGGTTTGAACCCACGACTATTGAGTTACTAGTCGAGACTCTTGCCTACTCGGCCACTCAGGCGGATAAAGAAAAAATAATAATATATTTAACTGACCCATAGGATATAGAAATTCTTTCAAGAAGGTATTTTATCATATTCTATCAGTAAAATGGAATAGTAAATCGTATCTGCAAAATATTCGTATAGCAAAAGGTATTTTTCCTAGTTATGTAATTTCATTTCAAGAGATGTAAATATAGAAAGATTTGATTTTCAAAATTTTGTAATACAACTGAATATATCTCAATAAAAATATATATGCATAAATGGAAAAATTCCAATTTTTTTTAATGTGTTTATAATGGCAAACGGGCCTGGCCCGCTTTTATTGCCAATTTCCTATTTATTGTATGTAAAAAAAAAAAAAACCCGAAAATATCTGCAGAAAATGTTAACTGAATTTAAATTTTTTTCTCATGCATTTGTCAATCACTTTTCACTTTTTTATTTTTGAATATATAATCAAAATTTCTGATAACTTTAATATTCAAGTCAATATTAATTAGTTGATGGCTTCTGCCCTTTATGCATAAGAATTGCAATAATTTTTGCTTTTTTTTTTTTTGTAATAAAAAAGTAAATTAAAATAGATTTTAAAACGAATTTTTGTTGATTGATTGATTGATTGATATAAAATAATCATTTTCATTAATTTTGTGCAATAGATATGTTTTTCTACCTGTTATGTAATTTTTGATGAATTTGAGCAGAAATAATTTTACGCGTTAAATAATTTTGTACTATTTGGCATATACTAGATATTCGAATTGATATGATTTGTTTTCACAATTAATAAAAAAAAAACAAAAAAAAAAAAAAAAGAAACCAATAAATAGATAAAAATAAAAATTAATTAGTTTTGAATATGTAAGTAAAAAGGAAAAGAAAAAAACAAATGAATTTAATAAAATTCATGCTAACATATACACAAACACACACACACACACACACACACAGACGTAAGGGTTATTTACATTGCACATATAGTATATCTTTGTGATTTTAATTATGCTAATGATTCACACTCGTTCTTGAACGCATTGCAAAAAGAAAAAAAAAAAAAAATACATTTTTTCTTTTTCGTTTTAATTAGTTACAAATTAATTTAAGTTTAGTACTAAAGAAAATTTTTATAAATTTTTTATATCCACCACTTAAAATTTAAGAATGAATACAAACTACTAGGGTCAACTTCCAAGTTATATTTCTGGCAGTGTTATCAAAGTATAAGAGACTCGCAACAGGTCGCATCGGAAATCGTTTAAGAGCTGACATGTTACATGTAGTAGTGTGGTATATTTTTTCAACGAAATATATCCATATTCAGAAGCCCGCCATGAAGTAAGAATAGTTCAGTCGGTCAGTCATTCTAGTGAATCTTCCGTAAAACGTCGGCCTGAAAACGTACGACTATTATTTGTTTCGCATACTGAAAAGCAGGCTTAAATAATTCTTGGTTTAATTTCGAAACCTTTTTGCTACAATTGTTGCGAAAATTTCGATATCCGATGATTACGTTTTGAACTCAAAATTTTAAATATTTCCCAACAAAAATGTATTCCTTTACTTTTGTAGTGGTGGTGGTGGTGGTGGCTCTTAAATATTTTTGTATTAAATCTAAATACCACAATAGATGCAATTTCAGGATTTTATATAATAAATGCATGACAATAAATGATGGCGAGATTGTCATTAGTAACCTCCAACATTATCACCGTCTTAAATAACAACAACAATGTATTATAAATTTGCACGTATAAAATACGTTAAAATAGCATACATACATACATACATACATACATACATATTTATATACAATAATTGCTTGCTTAGTTAGTTAGTTGTAAAGAGAAAGAAGTTTATATGCAACTTTCCTGTATACGATTTGAGGTGGTTACTACTTCCGGCCGAAATCGGTATTCACTTAGCGAAGATGTTACCGATGGATTATTAGGACTAAGTAAACTCACCTCCATAGGCTGTGTGGTGGGATGATGATAAGATGATAATGAAGACGATGTCGTTGGTGTAGTACTATATGGTAATCCAGCGACAGCAGCACCACCAGCACCCAATGGCGGGCTACATGTAGTGATACCTTTTTTATTTAAAGTCGCATAGCTCTGTAGAAAAATGCAAAAGACACACACAGAGAGAGAGAGAGAGAGAGAGAGAGAGAGAGAGAGAGAAAGAGATAATAAAAAATGAAACAGAAAATTTAGTTAAGATTAATGACATTGACCGGAAAGCAAAAGGCATACGAAACGAAAAACGTTTGCTTTATGCTTTCTTGTATTGTAGTATTGTGCTGTATTGTGTGTTGTGTGTAGTGTCATTTCTTAAATGTTTTAGGGACATTTTAATCAAAACTAGTAAGTACATAAAGCTGAAAGCAAACATTAGAAAACAAAAAAAAAAAAAAAAAACAATGTTCAACGCATATAAAATATGCAAAGAAATACGTATTTAGGTAGCGTCTTGTTTGTTGTGTTTAAAGCCTTTGCTTTTTTTTCTCTATTTTCCATGGCTGAGTATGTATGTAACCATAACCGTACATGCATTTATGCATAACTTTGTGTTTATATCCATGTGTATATATGTATATATATATATATATATATATATGTGTGTGTAGGTATATGCGAGTGCAGAAAAATGTGGTTTTTTAATTCCCTTCGGCTTCTCTATGCAAAGCAAATGAAATATGGCCATGAGCTTAAAACAAATGTATTTTTTTTCATTTTTTTTTTCATTTTTTTTTTTCCTTTTTACTGAACAAACTAATGCACAAACAATGCAGTAACACAATGCCAGTAATATGTCTTGTTTGTTTTTCCTTTGTTACGCTAGTTCGCTGGTTTAAACGATTTGTTATTATAGTTGCCGCACATGCATGCACAAGTAAACTTAATTTAAAATACGTTTCTATTTATGTATGTCTGCGTATGTATAATTGTGAAAATTCAATTGTTTGCTTACAATTTGTTTACTCGGCCTAAATGTATAGTGCAGTACTTCATTACCGATGCCAACGCCACCGTTATTACTTTTTATAGAGCCGAAACTGGAAAAACCATCTACACTGCTTAATGTTGAGCCATTGGTAACACCAATAACACTCCCACTGCCCAATGTAGTATCGGTGCCATCGGTATTTGTACAATAATCGCGTTGTAATAATCGCGCTGATGGACTACGAAATATAGGTGATGCCATCATAGGCTTTAAAGGACGTTTCTCTGAAAGATTGAATAGATTGTTAATTAAACAAAACGAAATAAATTGCGTTCAGTTTCTCTACACTAACTAACACATTTGCCGAATTAGTTTGCTTAATACAAAATATTTTCGCCCTTAAACTATAACTATAATGTTTAATAAGGAAATTATTATGAATTTTTATTCATTTATTTATTTATTTATTTTTTTGTTTTTTTATCACAAATTGTTTTATGTGTGTGTGCTCCGATCAGGACAGAAAATTAAAAATAAAAGAAATGTAAGACTAAATTTCGGATATTGCTTACATTTGTCGAGACAGTGATAGTTGCGTTTGCGATCTATGAAAAGAAACAGTGATATTACCCTTACACCTGATAAGCAGATAGACGACAAACGGCTATAAATCGATTAAAAAGAGGCATTACACTAAGTATCCAATCGTGCTTAGATAGGCCCAATTAATAGATTGATTAAATGTTATTTTGAAAGTACAATTTATAGGGCGCCTATAACAGATAACAGAAGAAGAATGGCTCGTCATCGTCGTCCTTTACACTCGTATGGACGTCTAATGAAGGGTAAGGCCTATAAGCTAAAAAGGTCTATAATCCATTTTTTTCATTATCGTAAAGATTTAAAAAATTGATTTCAAAACCCCCTTTTGGGTGTTTTTGGGTGACATTACAATCATAAAAAGCGGATAAATATTTTCCATACATGTTGTGCCTAATAATTGATATTTAAAAAAATGCGAAACAGTAGTCTGCAGGTTCGTTCGTCCCTTTGTCACCGAAATGCATTTAGTCAAAGTTAATTTTTAGTTAATTTACATTTAAATATAATCCCTTTAATTATAATCATTAGTAAAGAAAAAAAAATGTGGTCATTAAATCATTCATTACAGCATCTCTTAGCAAGGAAAATGAACAAGAAATGAACGTAAGAAAATCGTCCCCAGGGGAGATTAAATTCCAAAACGTATATAATTCTGATAAAGATTTTAAAAAAGTTTGCTAACAAACATGTGGTAGTTAATGACTCGAAGTCGAAACAATCTTGAAAGTGTTTTGGAAATCGATATTTGGCGAACAGGATGCAAATCACATTCTATGCGTACAGGCAAGTATTGTCATCGATTTACTATCACGTGTACGGGTGAAAAAGGGTCTCGGATTTCCCATCCCCACCTACGGTTAACAGTAGTGCTTATCCAATAGATTTTTTATTTGTTTTTCACATCACTTCGATACTGTCACACTTTCTACCATACTTCTCTGTGACTCTATTCAAAATTCGGCAAAGAAGAAAATCAATTTTTTCTATTTCTATTCTTAAACTTTATAAAATTACTTACCATATTGATTAGGTATAACATCGGGATCAGTATCATCATTTTCGGCAGGCTCCGCCATCATTTGTGGCGATAAACGATTATGACTGTGCGTTGTTGACCTCAGTGTACTGGTATCTGGTACAACGGCTGATGTAGGTGAGGATGCATTTTGTATTTTATTATCCACATTTGGCTGCAAAAGGCTATGATGTGCCTGGTGATTACTTTGCTCGTAATGGTTGTGATGACGATTAGGTTGTAACGGATCCAACTGACAATCAGCGGGTATAGATAATTGCGTATGTTTCGTCGGTTTTAAATTATCTGTTTGCCTGAAAAGTGACAAAAGCAAGCTGTGTTGTCAAATCTAAGCAAATTTTTTTTTTTGGACTAAAAGCAATATATGCCCGCAGCATTGTTGAAACGAAACTCAAGGCAAATGTAAATTTCCCCGCGAACGCATACGATTTGCTGTTTAGCTATAATTATTAACATTTACTAGCACTTTTAATTACCCAGTCAATGAACATATTGTAGGTAACATGTAACAATGTGAACTTCGCAATGCTTCTAAGGATATTGTAATCTTTTGTTTTAGTCCATTTTTTTTTTTTTTTTAAATTGATTTCTTTGCATTATGTGGTTAAACCTGTTCAAACGCATCTATCAGATGTTGAGTTGAAAACTATTTAAAAAATTCCTCTGGTCAATTACGATAGCCTTTAATTAAATTTTCTGTCTTCTACTTAATACCAATTGTTTGCAATGCCACTGCACCACCACTTGTGGTGCAGGATATATTAAATTTGTGCGCACATAGGCAAGTGGCAGTAGATCTTAAGATAAATCAATCATTAAATTATTTTTTGAATTAATTAAAACTTTTCTGCGCATTTATCTTTCCGCCTGTCTGTCTGTCTGCCTGTCTGCCTGACTATCCGATGTTTATGTAATTTTTTTCACATAATTTACGACATATCTAGGCGCAAAGGATAAAAAATTTATCGAAAATCAAGTCAATGACTTAAACGATCATGTTTTAAAAAACTTATGGATGGAATGGAAAAAAGGCGGAGTTTTCTAAATTTTTCGACAACAATCACTTCGTTATTATCTAAGATATTTCATAAGTCGGGCTTGCTCGTCCCTGCTGTTTTCATGTCTTTTCTAATGTTTCTATATATTGGTTTGTGTGCTTGCACACATTGTTCCCTTCCCTTGAGGGTGTGTTCCTCTTCGCGCAGTAAACAAATTTCTTTAAATATAACGTAATGCAGGTTTTCCTTTACGCCTGCGTCACGTTCATACAAGGCGGAAATACTTAAAGCACAACAGTCTAACGTTTTGACACAATTTGATCATATCGGGGCGTCTGTCTGTTCTGTCCTAGAGAGCAATTTCAACTTTTCATTGGTAATTACTGGAAAAAGGTGTGCTGTACTTATTCGAACTCTCCCGGTAAGGTAGATTCTAAATAATATGAATAATTTTTTTTTTTTGATTGAAATTATATACATAGCATGTCGAATACAAGCACATGATACCTAATCTAAACTAACCAAGGACTAGCCACACTGGAGGCTCTTAAGTCTTAAATACTCGTATGATACGGTTCTATTGATTTTCAGTTTAGTTAATAAAGGCTTGGAAGGAACAGACTTTCTTCGCGTCAGATCTAAGCTTTCCTTAATTTAATTACCTTAAATATTCTTTTAAAATATCAAAATTTGAATTACTTAAGGAAATAATATTTTACTTACCTATTCGAAAATCTTCTATAGATGGCTGCCAATATTATACAAGAGACGGCAAAAAGTAAAGCACAAAATAAAGTTAGACCAGCTAAGAATGGAGAGAGGGGTACGGTAAGACCATTGGAAGCACCTGAAATAATTAATAATATTAAATTTACAATAATTTCCGTACATAAGCACGCATCTACTTCAGATAACGTAATAAACATTCGCTGTAAAGGTAAAGGCAGCAATCCTTGAAAATTTTTATGTCGAGAAAGTATTTTCACGCCATGATGTTTTTGTTGTTCTCAACGAAAGAAATATAATTTTAAATTTTCCCACATGTTTTAGGTTGCGATCACCACCGTCTTTTTAATCATTATTTTGTCGCGTGTATAGAGAATAACCTCTCAGGGTATTTGGGATTTTTTTTTACCGATCTGACTTCTGAAAACCTCTCTCATTAAGACGAAGAATTTTGAATTTCCAGCAATCGCGGAGAATTACAGAGATTTTCCTTGACCTGATTCTAAAAAATTTCTCGCAAGTTGTACACATTTTGTGGGTAAAGCTGCATTTAGGCAGAAAATGAAACAAGTATAAGTTGAGGAGAAAGAGTAACTAGAGACAAGCTGAGAAATATAAAGTAAGATGACTCACAAAGCGACGAAATAACAGAAAGAGAGACTGAAAGGTGTGAAAAGGAGAGAGCGATGTAGAGTGATAGGGTAAAGCGTATAAAAGGATTAGCAAGGAAAATTTGGGACAAAAATGAAAAGAAAAGCGATAGAGAGAAATGTAAAATAACTAGAAACGTTACAGTCGAAGAACGTCGACTAGTATATGCGCTGCACTACCGTCGTCTAATACGGTTATTCGACAGACAGTTATCAGAAGGGTAAAATGGCTTAGATCCATTTAGAAAATGATTCCGCAGCGATCTATATAATAAAAGATGGGTCTTTCTGGTTGCTATACACATCCACCTGTAACACGAGTGGTGTAGAATATACAAACCGAAATAACTAAGTTTGATGCGAGATAAATCGGGGAAAAAAGTAAGTGAACAAAATCGAGAAATAATTTCCACTAATCAAAGTAAATGTTTTGATCTTATATCTTATTTACCGAGAAATTTATTGATTTGAAAATAATTTCGGTTAACAAAATATCTCGAAATTTTCAAAAAAAAAAATATTGAATCTATGTTTCGAATGAACTATGCGAGTCAAATTACGTCGTCATACTACAATTAAACAACTCTCGTAATATGCAACCAGTAAACCAAAATTACATAATTACTCGCCACAAAACACCATAGGAATCTTCGATTGCCCAAAAAGGTTAAAGATTAAAAAGAAGAAGAAAAAATTGCGTTTTGAATGTGAGTTATAATGATTCGTAATGCTTGACTTTAAATAATGCTGCTGTGCATGATTCAAAAATCATTCTTGATCTTGATAGTTAGTAAATATTCTTCTGTTTAGGAGCAAATTAAAAGCAAGTTTTTTTTTTGTTCGCAAATTTAAATTTATTTTCCGAACGCTGACACCTGTTGATTTATGATGCATTGGATACTGCAACGTTTATCACCACGTATTTCTTTTTGCAGGCCCATCTTTTTCTTGTTTTAAGGAAAGAAAGTAGAAAAGTATGCCGAAAACGGTCATGTCAATGCGGGCAAAATTTTAACACTTCATACCTTGTCACTCAATCTAGAAACGTGCTCGTTATCAAAAGTTAAATGTAATAATAAAAAAAATAAAAAAAAAAAAAAAAAATTTGAAAACTTGATAACATTGACAATATTCCATCTAAACAATCACAGCGCCAACGATGTGTAAACAGTGCAAAATAATTTCCACCAACTATGATAAGAGGAAAGACCAGTTTCTGGCATCAAAGAGGACATCATTTTAAATTAAGTAAATTGTACGAGAAAAAAAATAGCAAAAAGAAGCAAATAAGAAAATTAAATGCAGTTTAGAACGAATCTTTTATGCGCATTACTACCGTTTAGCCCCCTAAAAAAACCAAGAGAAGTAAAAGAACAAAATTTCAGGCACTTTTATATGGAACGGGCGCAGCTGATTTTTTCTATTTTCAAAATAAAAGTTTTTAGCATGTGGGCGTTGTAGGCGTGCCCTTTGAACAGTTTAGATCAAATCGAAATTCTTTTGCGAATTGGAATGAGAGAATGTTTACCACAGATACTATACAGTCACGCAGACGGACAACCGGGCAGATGAATAGGTGGACATAGGTGGTTTAGCTGTATACTAAATTTTAAACTGGTCAAGAATTTGTACACTTTATGTGCTTTTTGAAGCTTGTTTCTGCGCGTTGAAAAAAATAATTCAATTTTGATACACTCTAATATTGGGTAGGCGTGGTCAATTTTTTCCATTTTTATGCACAAATGCTATAGTTTATGACTAAGTGAGTAAAAAACCAATTTTTCATTCCCATCGAAAAACAGAAACATTCTCAATTTACGTGGTGCTGTAGGCTTGTCGTTCGACCACTTTGCTTCATTTTCAATACCAACCAGTGTGTAAGAACTTCCACAGTTTTTGCCAAATTTGAAGACGATAGCTTCATTTTTGCGACCAGTAGCATGTTTAAAAAAGATGTTACAGGGACGGACGGACGGACGGACGGACGTACATATTTAAATCGACTTAGAATTTGATGCTCATCAAGAATATATACACTTTGTGGGATCCGAAATGCTTTCTGGTAGGCGCTGCATACGTGTTGACAAAATGAATATACCTATGGATGATGGGTATAAAAATCAAAGAAAAGGATGAAAATTTGTGCAAATTTATGCGCGATTTGCAATGAATAGAAAGACGTATAAAATGAAGCTACAGCCGAATGCTTGTTTCTCGAAACTTGTTAATAAATTTGAAAATTTTCAAATAAAGTTTCGATCGCAGTTCAAGTTATATAAAAGGCAAGGGATTTTTAGTGTGTACAAAAAAAAAAAAAAAAAAAAAAAACAAAGAACAGAGAAAGGATAACGAAAATCTACAGACCAAAAATGCGAAGAAAACTTAATTGCATTTGTGCCAAAAAACAACAACAAAACGGAACGAAAAACCGGAAATAAAAAAACAGCGACTTTTGCTAACAGTCTTAATGCGAACTTCAACTGAATGCTCTGTTAAGTAAATAGCACAAAATCTATTAGAACAATCTTTGTCCAGTGAACAATGCAATGAACAACAGAGCAACATCAACAACAACACCAACAACAACAACAATAATAATAATAACAATAACAACAACAACAACAGGAAAAATTATAACAGAAGCAGAAAATGTTTAAAGAAAAAGTTTTTTTTTTTTTTTTTTTTTGCGCATAAACACGTACGTAAACTGAAAGTGCACATCAGCATAAATATTTATTCAAGTGCATGGGAAAATGGCGTTTGCTCGCTTCCAGGACAAAGTTTACGAAAAACAACGAAAAAGAACTAACTAACAATAACCTTAAGACAACACGAACGAAAAAGCTGTAAAACTCAAAACTTGTATACACTAGTATTCATCGGATGTATGAAAAAATTCATCTATAAAGTATCGAGCCTCTTTTTTTTTGTTTTTTTAGTAAATGGCCAACAACTTCGGACACTTTTGCACGTGGTCAGTAGTAGTGCTTCAATTTCCAAAAAAAAACGGTGCATAATTTGATGATTTGATTTTGAACGAATCAAGATATGTATATCAAGTCATTTATTTTCCTCAAGATATATTAAAGAAAATAGCCAACCAAAAGCTGCTTTTGCTTTGGAAATGATCATTTTCAGCAAACTTCGCGAAGAAAGATCGAGTATTAAAAGGCTAGGAAGAAGAAGATTAAAAGCCTTTTAAAAAGTTCACCAGATGACCAGGGGACCTGTTGGGCAAGCGAAGAAGAAGGTTATTCAAGAAGAATACAATTTGAATAGACAATCAATTTTTATATAAGCTATGAAAGACTTCTGATGAAAGTTCTGATCTCGTTGATTTTTTGACATGGGCATGGGGTAATTGTATTGGGGTCATCATTTTGCCACGGACGGAACGGAGAGAATAACAATCGGTCAGTGGAATGTAATGTAATGTAAAATGCATCGCGTTCTCTCTCTCTCTCTCTCTCTCTCCTGTCATAATATTATGTGTAAAAACCTGCTGCCCGGTTATTCGCTCCACAATATAGATTTTTTCATTAATAAAAGCTTGAAAAGGAGGCCGACTTATATGCGTACATACCTGGTTATAATTGTGCACTGTACCATTTATAGAAACGGCCGGTTCCAGAAAGTAGCTTTAATTTAAAAAAAAACTTATCTTTTTGGATCTCTGTTATGGACCCTAGCCATGCTCGACAAGTAATGTCTAAAAAAGATCGTAGCCTAAACACAAAACAAATTTGGAAATCTGCACTGCAAGTTTGCTGTTCTCGACCAACAAAAATCCTAAGACTGAAATTATGCATGCCGGGCAATTATCTCATTTGTATCTGCAAGCTAAAGAGGAGAAAATAAAATACACGAGCGCTACACATCTCAGTTCAATTATCCCTCAGATATTGAGAAAACATTCTAAGAAGATTTTTATGTACCATGCCAACTAAAACGAAGGGAGGAACTTGATAGATAACCATAAGTGAGCTTTAGGAGAACTTTTCGGAAATCCTACTTTACAATCAATTGAAAGAAAAATGTTAGCAATTTATGAAAACAAAAGAAAAAACAAAAAAACCAAGAAAGGAAAGAAAAATAATGCATGTGTGTGTGTGTGTGTGTGTGTGTGTTTTCACTCTATTATTTTCTAGTAATATGTTAATTTCGACTTTGCATTGAAACGCTCGATATTTTTCAAAGATCTTATATAAGAAAATTTTGTTTTTGTTAATGAAAGTATTACGAAATAAATTGAAACTGAAGTGGAAAATTTTGTGAAAGGTATATTTACGCAAGGGCTCTAAACTGATACTTAAATACCTTACTATACAAGTGCATATAAAACAATGTTGATATATAAGTAAAGAGTTCCAGATATACAATGTTTTGTGTGCATTGTATGATACCGTCTACACGTATGAATTGTAGCATCAGGAATTCAAGAAACTTTCATTCAACTGTAAGAATAAAGTATTGTGGAATGTACGTATATTCCTTCAAACATATATATAAGCATACATATACATACATAGCTTTGCATATATATATATACAAGTATATATATATATATATACATCTATATATATCAATATATATGTATATGCATATGCATATATATGTACGTGCTCTAGCGGAAACGAGCTTAATACATTATAAGATCAAGTTAATGGTAAGGATAGAGGAACCAGTGCGCATACACACTTCAGTTTTGTTCTTTTTCTGTCACTTTTGTATTGTTAAATGTATTAAATTTTCACTTTGAAATATATTTTGATTTAAATTTTGCGGGAAGCTACTTTTATTGCTAAATGCTTGTGAAAAATCACTTAATAGAATTCGAAAAGATCGTATTGTATGAGAGCTTGAGAAAAATTCTCAGTTAAGACCAAGAACCAATAAAATGCATTCAAAATTCAACTGGCAACGGTAAATACATGCTTAACAATATCCGTTTACTGATGCACATCATACAAACGCACATCTATATATATATATATATATATATATATACATATGTATATACCGCATTTAAATATTTGCCTGGAAGCATCCTCTTAAATATATACATTCATATGTTAAGAGCAATCTCATACCATTGCTGGCTGATGTGGCGCACCGATACGCTTACGTATGGATGCTCGTATACGTGCACCTTAGAGCGGATGTGACTAAAATGAAACTATCAATAAAAATTGCATTATGCAAAACAGGATATTGACTTCTTTTTTTTACTTTTATTTTTATTTATTTATTTATTTTTATTTATTTTTTGCTCTTTGTTTTTATGCTTCCGCTGTTCGTAAAGCAACTACCGTAGTGTGGATAGCTATGCATATACCTCTATATTCATTATGTTCATAAGAACATAAACAGACATATATATATATATATATATATATAAAAGAATATATACACACACATCTACCATTATGTTTCTGTATGTGTTTACCTTATCATATATGCGCGTATAAACCCGTATTTGTTGCTCTATAATATTATATATACATTGAGATTTTATGCTGTTGTTTTCCCCCCACATATTGTCGATGGTACCTTTCTTTAACAATGTCGGTAAATGTTGTCACTACATTGTCGCAAAATATGCACCAAATTTGTTTTCCCACAAGACATGCAGCGAGCACAAGTGAAAACATCAAACACGTATACAGACGACGCAAGAACGTTATCTACTGAAACGTTCAAAAATTTCATGAATTTTTTATGTTTACACAAATTGTGAAATATAAGAATATTCTCGCGTTTATTATCGTTGCATTTGTGCGTGCTTGAGCGACTTTATATTTTTTAACATTCAATATTACATACACGTACACACAAAAACATATAATGAAAACAACAAAACATCCTACAATCAATTCGTTTGCTTAACATTTGTAACAAGTTTCGCTTACATTAAATATAAGCGTTTCCCTTAATGATATAACATATTAAAGATTAATTTTAATAAATTTGAAATTCTTCTATAAATTTGCAATCAAAGCATCGTAACGAATGTCTTTTTTTCAGATTTTCGTTGCTTAGTAATTGACGAGTTACACGCACGACGATTAAACACTAGTTGTTCGCTAATATCAATGAGTTTGGTTAAACAATTATTCATTTCTCGCTCTTTTCACAGCGACAGCTCTTTTAAAAAAAAAAAACTCATTCTCTTCTTGCTTCTTGAGTAAAACAAATTGTATGAGTTCCAAAGTGTATCGAATTAGGGTTTCGTGAGTACACCAAATTAAGGGTTTCCTGAGTACATCGAATTAGGGTTTCTTGAGTACGTCAAATTAAGGGGTTCTTGAGTAAATCAAACCCTGTAGGGAATCTATTTGTTTACCACAAGTTTTATGTTGAACTTTAGTTTAACGCTTTCTAAACTATGCCATTTTACCTCTTTAACTGCACAAATGCGTTCGTATTACGTATTATTGTTATCAAAGGTGCTGTGAAAAACCATGGCAGGAAATCATTTATTCGACTAAAATTTGTTCTTCGATATCTGCATCTATTGTCAAAAGTTTACCTGCTAAAAATCAAGTAATATGAGTCCTAAAAAAAATATAGAAAAATTTATTGGATATTTTAATCCATTTTATTTCTGAGAGGAACATTTCTAATACCCTTGATGCGGAGAAAGGAGAATAAATATTTTTAATATTTACATGCTAACAAGTGGTCGCTCATTTACTTCTCCCTTAATTTGCCAGAATTCGAAGTTCGCTCATTTACTTCTCCCTTAATTTGCCAGAATTCGAAGTTCGCTCAT